TATATATATATAAATTATTAAAAAACTTTTTTCTACGAAGCAGTCGCGCAAACTTTTAATAAATAGAAATCATCATCATAAGCGGCGTTGGACCAACAGTTTCCACGAGAGCGGCCAATTTCTTCACGACGCCGTGATCCGTCAGGATACCCAGATTCTCAGGATCAGTGGCAATCTCCGCGATCATGGCGCAGACCGCGCTGAGCACTTCCGTGTTTTTGCTCTCCAAGAGACTGACTGTGAGTTCCAAGCCGCCCACGAAAGCGCGCACCATCTCAGGGGAATCCTTGGCGTGACGGATACAGGGTACCAGAGCGAGACAAGCATTACGTTTGATCACATCACTGGGATGCTTCAACAGGGACCAGACTAATCGCACTCCGTCCAGTTGATGCTCCGAGTCATTGATGATGTCCATGCATTTCTCATTGACAGCACACTCTTTCAGCACCAGTGGCACGTTCTCTAGTAATGGCTCGTACGTGGCGCTCAATAGTCTAATCTGCAAAGGTCCCTAAAGCACTCATTCTGCGGTATCGCAAATACTGGAGTAACGAGGAAACATCGATCGTCATGGGATTGGTGTAGCACACGTTAACTCGATTAATCATCGAGAATGGTATTTGCAACCTTCCGATACACAATCCAATTTTCGCTTCATTTGGAAATTATCTCTCATATAAATTCCAATGGGATAATTAAAGTTAAATGGGTCAATGCAGCTATATTCCAATAAAATTGATAATTGATAATCATTAAATTGTTAACATATATGATGAGACTTTATCTAGTAATTGCTCGAGGATCATTAAAAGAACCATGACTATCGATTATTATATCTGAATATTTAGTCTGAATATTTATTCTGAATATGCAAGGGATCTCTATTATCTGCAATATAACACATTCAGTTTTTAAAACAATTTTTCCCTTTTGATACAATATTCTAGTTATTAAAACACACGATAAATAATTGACACGATAAATAATTGATCCAAGTAGATATTTTTACGCACATAAAAGTTATCTTATTCAGAAAAGAAAAAATATTCGATTCCTCGTGGCGTTACATCATCTTTGAGATCATCTGTATAAATATTCCTTCCTATAAGCTTAATGTACAAGCAAGAGTTCGACATATGTAGATAAGCAAAGTTTGGTTCAGAAAGAGAAAGAGAGAGAGAGAGAGAGAGAGAGAGAGAGAGAGAGAGAGAGAGAGGGAGAGAGGGAGAAAGAGAGAGAGGAAGAGAAGAAAAGCACAGATAGAAGTGTACTCCTGACTTTGAATGGTCTTTACCAGTTTCGGTAGACCCTCATTAATCCTCAAGACATCCCTGTTAGTGGGATCCTTACAGCACTCGGCGAGGGCGCCTACAACGTTGGCTAACACCCTTTCATCCTCGTTTTCCTCGAGCAGAGGCACCAATGACGCTACCAGACCGTTTTGATTGAATCTCATTATGTTCTCGGGGCTGATGGCACACTTCCAGACGCCACCGGTGACCGCGGCCAGCAGGCGCTTATTGGCGTGCACCTCCTCGCTCTGCACGAGTTTGCAAAGTGGGTCCAGACCGCCAGCTCGACGCACCATCATTCGAGTTTCCCGATTAGAAGCGCATTTGAAGATGGCCAAGGCAGAGTTCTCCTTCAGCTTCACGTTGTCATTCTTTAAATGTCGCACCAAGTCGTCGATGATGTTCACTCGTTCAAATTCCTCTCTGAAAATATTCTACAGATGCCCCAATAAATATTGGCATCACACAACTACAAGGGAATATTTATAATGAAATTTTGAAAATAGATAGTTTAATTAATTACGATTTTAATAAATGCATCAGTGCCATGGATTTTGAATAGCAATGACA